CAGAAGTCAAAAAGTACTTTTTAAAATAAGTCAATTTAATATATTTTCTTCTCCTTTGTTCTGCAACAATTTTGGTAATGAAATCCAGTGGCCACCTCATTAGGTACACATAACACATTATCAACTGCTTGTCAATGCAAATATATAATCAGTTAATTACATGGTGCAACTCATTGCATATAAGTATGTAATAATACATGTTTACAGAGACAGGGAATTTGCCAGATGGGCTGATTTGATTATTTCAAACAGTGTTGATCTATATTCCTGCACAACACTTTCTGATGTTTACAAAGAGCAATACAAAAAACATTCAAACCGACAAAAGCCAATTCTCAAATGTTTCAGTGTAACATGCTAGGTGTCAGTGTAAAGAATGTAACCTGTGTCTATATTTGAACACAAAATTGGCGAGTACAGTGCGAGATTCTACCTTAGTGTTGTTGCCAACCATGTGCATGAATTTCTGATCATATCTGCTGATGGCTACCTCCAGCAGAATAATGTACCAGAACACAAAGCTCAAATCCCCTCAAACAGTCTGAAAAACTATTAAATGGCACACCTTGATGAAACACGAGATGATCCAAACATAGAGCTATAATTTCAATAACAAAATCTATGGTGTGGCATATCCAGTGTGTTTCTGCATTGTATGACCATATATTATTTATGACTTTGGTTGACAGCTCATTGTCCTTTTTACATTGATTAGCCCTATCATTTTACCCTCTTGATCCCCATCCAAACCATCCAAATAGTGTCTACTAAAGGTTGATTGATTTGTTGATGGTGCATTTTTATGTTTTGTAGTAGAGTGTAATGTGCAGCACATAACTTTGGTGGTGTAGGCTTACATGTGTGTACAATTAATGATATATATGGCTTTTCCTTTTATGCTCCCGTGTCCCAGTGGTGTTTCCAAATTTGGTTGAGTGACACTGATAAGAAACACAAGGTTAGGACGATCCAGCCAGTGTCCAACTGTCTGTGTGTCACTCTCTGTCTCTTTGTTGAGAGGTGAGCAACGACAGACCTGCCGTTGTGTAGTGCAGCTGCAGGCCTCTCATGGGCTGTTCTGGAAACAGTCTGTCAGAGCACCAGCTGCTGGGGTGCAGGTCAGGTGAGAGAGAGGGAGAGAGAGAGAGAGAGTGAGAGAAGACAGAGCCACAGGCTGAGAAGGTACAATAAAATACATAAATATGTAAAATTTGCATGATTCAAATAATTACATATGTCAACATTTAATATTAATATTACCAATTACCTGTCCACATCTAGGACATTAACATTAAAGACTGCATCACGTTAGAAGCTGCAGACCTGGTGCCATTCCGTGGGTTAGCTGATGGCTTAGCTCCATCCATGCACACATTCACTGCTAATTAGATATCACATTTTTACTTTACTTTACTAAAGAACTAACTAAAGACAACTGATTGCAAATGCAACAATCTTGACACATTGTTCATGTTCATGTGAAAGTACATTTGTGTAATTTTTTTCCCTCAAAATTGACATTTTTTTACAAGCCAGGTTTTAATACTTCTGTATGATATATATATATTTATATATACAGTGGGTACAGAAAGTATTCAGACCCCTTTAAATTTGTCACTCTTTGTTTCATTGCAGCCATTTGCTAAAATCAAAAAAGTTCAATTCATTTCTCATTAATGTACACTCAGCACCCCATCTTGACAGAAAAAAACAGAAATGTAGAAATCTGCAAATTTATTAAAAAAGAAAAACTGAAATATCACATGGTCATAAGTATTCAGACCCTTTGCTCAGTATTTAGAAGAAGCACCCTTTTGAGCTAATACAGCCATGAGTCTTCTTGGGAATGATGCAACAAGTTTTTCACACCTGGATTTGGGGATCCTCTGCCATTCTTCCTTGCAGATCCTCTCCAGTTCCGTCAGGTTGGATGGTGAACATTGGTGGACAGCCATTTTCAGGTCTCTCCACAGATGCTCAATTGGGTTTAGGTCAGGGCT